ACCCACCAGGGCTGGCACGGGGCAGGGCCAGCACCCACCAGGGCTGGGCTGGCACAGGGCACTGGCAGCACCCACCAGAGCTGGGCTGGCACAATCAGCACCCACCAGGGCTGGCACTGAGCGTGCTGGGCACGGCCGGGGCTGGCACGGGGCAGGGGCAGCACTGCCAGGGCTGGGCTGGGCTGGCACGGGGCAGGGCCAGCACAGGGCAGGGGCAGCACTGCCAGGGCTGGGCTGGCACAACCAGCACCTGCCAGGGCTGGGCTGGGCTGGCACAGGGCATGGCCAGCACCTGCCAGGGCTGGGCTGGCACAGGGGCACAACCAGCACCCACCAGGGCTGGCACGGGGCAGGGCCAGCACCCACCAGGGCTGGGCTGGCACAGGGCACTGGCAGCACCCACCAGAGCTGGGCTGGCACAATCAGCACCCACCAGGGCTGGCACAGGGCATGGCCAGCACAGGGGCACAGCCAGCACCCACCAGGGCTGAGCTGCCCCCACCAGTTCCAGGGCTGACAGCAGAGCTCCATGCAAACCCATCCCGCTGCTCACGTGGGGGCTGTGTCAGAGCCAGGCCGGGCTTGGGGAGCTCTCTGAGGGGCTCTCCCTGCTCTGAGGGGCTCAAAAAAGCCCCAAATCCTCCCGGACAGCCAGAGCCAGGTGCTGGTGCTGCTCCTGCTCCAGCAGCACTGGCATTTCACTCCTGGAGCTGCAGGGGAACTCTGCAGGCTCCGTTTGCTCAGGGCCAGGACTCACTGATCATTGCCAGGCACAGACGTGACCCCACCCCAAACTCACACGTCCTGAGTGCCACCAGGCACTCTGACTGTCCCCAAACTGCTCCACTCCCCTGCAGGAGATGCAGGAATTCTCCATCAAACACCAAAACTTCTGGGTCACTCTGAGCTTTTAGGAACCGTGTGTTCAACGCTAGGATCTGTTAGAAAAATAAACACTTCACCAACAAAGGACAGAAAAGCAAAGCACCAGTTTGGTTTTTCTTTTTCTACAGCTCCAGAAGCTTCCAGCATGGTACAGATTCCTCCCTCCCTCCCTCCCCTGGCTGCCTCAGTGGCTCCTGTACCTTTGTGACCGTCAGTGGAGGGAATATTTAAAAAAAAAAAGGGGAAAAAGGAAAAAAAAACAAACAAACCAGGAATTCCAGATATTTGCACTGGCCTGGAGCTGCCTCTCTCCCCTCACTCCGCCTTTAAAAAGTGAGAATTGGTTCAAAGCTCCTCAGCTGCCCCATTTTGAAGCCCCTCGTGCCCCCCTGACTCAGCACAGTTGTCACTGACCCCCCTGGCACTGAACCAGAGCACCCTCAGCACAAAGCCCAGCTGGAAATGCAGATTTGGGGGATTCTGACAAGTTCAAGGCAGGACGCTGGCAGAAACCAGAGGTGCTGCTGTGGAGTCAGGGACAGGAGGGAAGCTGTGACATCTGAAAAGCAAGACTGACTGAATTTTGGAATAAATCCATTTTACCTCCCTGCAAAGCTCCAGGGCTACAGCTGTGGGACAGAATCTTTGCAAAGCCTCCTCCTCCTGTGAATGAAACTTTCTGCTCCACACAAATCTCCTGGTGCTCCTAAAAACAGGGATTTTCCCAGCTTTCCTTCCAAAATGTTTGATACTAATTCATTCCAATGGGCATTGAAAAAGGTGAAGTCTGCTGCTGAAAAACGATGGATGTTAAAATAAAGATTTTCAAAATAATAGAAATGTTCACCTTGATAATTTGCTCCTGTCTGTAAAAATGTGACACTGCTGAATTTCTAACAGGGCTCAGGGTTTGTACCAATGAACAGGTTTGGAAAAGTTACAAAATGCTGAAAATCTGAGATTTTCATGGTGTTTTTCACTCAGAAAAAGCATCAGGCAGCCCCAACCCACCAGCAATGAACGTGTGAGAAAGAATTTATTCTGTGAAACAAAGGGCCAGAGGTGCCAGGACACAACAACCCAAAAACTGAACTGGCAGAACAGAAAAAGGATTTTCACAGCCTTAACTCTTCTTAACCGTGTTAGGAAAAAAATAAACGAAGCAACCAGAAATGGATTTGAGGTGAGAGTCACAAAACACACTTCAGGTGTGGCAGGGAAGAACCAGATCCCCTGGAACCCCTGGGCCTGAACTGAAAGCAAACCCTAAGAAGCCAATGGAAAACAGCTCTGGGAACCAGAGATTTATGGGTTTTATTTTTGATGGGTTTTATTTTTGATGGGTTTTATTTTTTAAATGTGGCTGTTTGTTCTCCCAGAATTACCCAAGAGCTTGAGGGAATTTCTGCTCTCCCAGCAATCCAGCAGGTGGAAGAGCTGGGGGAGAGGAGAGGGAATTAAATAAATTTTCTTTTTCAAGATTGAGATTTCCCTGCAGCCTGATGCTGTTCTGGAAAAAAAAATATATATAAAAAAAATCAAACCATTGTAAAAAAATAGATTTACAATGAAACATCATCATCTTTATTGTAACTGCAACAGTAGTTCCATGAGAGTCAAGAACGTTAGAGAACTTCAGCTTTTGTAAGGTAAAGGAATTTACCAGCCTCAATAAAGCCAGGGAATCCCTCAGGACAAGCACTCAGCTGCTGCAGGAATATTCCATCCCCACCTGAACTGGACTCGGGGTCCTTCCTGATCACTTTTAGTGTACCACCTCTGGGAACTCTCCAAAATCCCCAACAGGACTGAAAATCTGCTGCCACCAGAAATCCCAAATCAGGAGTTAGCTGCCTTAGGTCACCTTCGAGAGGCTGGGTACAAAATGGGCGGTTCTGGGACAAAAAAAGAAAAAGCAAAAACACCAGGAGGGATGCAAAGCTCGTCGGCTGAGCTGGAAGGGGAGCAGCAGACACAAGCACAGAGGGTGAAGGAAAAAATGGAAATAAAAATGGCAGGTCCAGTTTTCAGTGTTTCCACCAAGAAATGTGGCAGGAAAGTGGCTGAGGGTGGGGAAACCCAGGTTTGTGGAGTTTCATGAAGTTCAGAAAATAAAAATATTAAGGAAAGGATTTGGCTGCTTGGATAAAAGCACAGGAGAATTGAGCGCCCTGTGCAGGGACAGCCCCGGGAGGGGAGCCCAAAAACCCCACAGGGACAGGGGAGCTGATCCCACAGACCCCACAGGGACAGGGGAGGGGATCCCACAGACCCCACAGGGACAGGGGAGGGGACCCCACAGACCCCACAAACCCCACAGGGACAGGGGAGCTGATCCCACAGATCCCACAGGAACAGGGGAACTGATCCCACAGGGACAGGGAGCTGATCCCACTGACCTCACAGGGACAGGGGAGGGGATCCCACAGATCCCACAGGGACAGGGCAGGGGATCCCACAGATCACAGGAACAAGGGGGAGCAGATCCCACAGGAAAGTGGAGAGCTGACCCCACAAATCCCAGAGAACAGGGGGAAGCTGATCCCACAGATCCCAGAAACAGGGTGGGAACAGATCCCACAGACAGGGGTGAGGAGAAAACCCCACAGGCAGGAGGGGGAGCTGACCCCACAGACACTACAGGAAGAGTGAGGAGGCCACAGGCAGGAGGGGAACAGATCCCACAGATCCTACAGGCAGGAGGGGGAGCTGACCCCACACACACTACAGGAAGAGTGAGGAGCTGATCCCACAGATCCTACAGGAGGGGTGGGGAGCTGATCCCACAGATCCTACAGGAGGGGTGGGGAGCTGATCCCACAGATCCTACAGGAGGGGTGGGGAGCTGATCCTACAGACACTACAGGAAGAGTGAGGAGCTGATCCCACAGATCCTACAGGAGGGGTGGGGAGCTGACCCCACAGACACTACAGGAAGAGTGAGGAGCTGATCCCACAGATCCTGCAGGAGGGGTGGGGAGCAGATCCTACAGGAAGCATGGGGAGCTGATCCTAAAGGCAGAAGGGGAGCTGACTCCACAGGAAGGGTGAGGAGCTGATCCCACAGGAGGGGTGGGGAGCTGACCCTACAGACCCCACAGGAAGGGCGAGGAGCTGATCTCACAGGCAGGAGGGGAGCTGACCCCACAGACCCCACAGAAGGGGTGGGGAGCTGACCCCACAGATCCTAGGGCAGGAGGGGAGCTGAGCCCAGACCCCACAGGAGCAGGGGGGGCACAGGGAAGTGCCCCCTGTGCCCTGTGCCCCTGGAGCCTGGCTGAGGGCAGCAGCAGGAGGGAACAGCCAGGGCTGGCTCAGGGGACCTCAGTGCCCAGAGCACCACAGCTCGCACCACAAAGGGACACCCCTCACCCCAAAAGCTGAACAACTTCATTTGACATTATCTGTTCACCTGTTTGGTTTTTCCTTGGAAAAATCTGTAATAAAAACATTTTCCACCACACCCAATGGAAAGCAGTTTTCAAAATGGTTTTGCAATTTCTCTTCCCTGTTCTGCCCCTCTACAGAAGGAATAAAAGAAGGGTGAGTGGAAATGGGAAGGCTGCAGGTTGAATAACATCTGAATTTCTCTGGAATGGGCTGCAATTTGCCTACAGCAGAACAGTTTCTATCCAGCAGAGACAAAAGATCTCCCATCCTGACTGAAGGGTCTTTTCTAAAGCAAAGCCACTGGAGCATCTCCGAGTTCCTTGATTGCTTTCCATGCAAAACGTGCCTGAATCCAAGAAACACAGGATTCCTCCCCGTGTTCCATCCTCCTCCACTGGAATTACACCAACTACATTTCTGCTGAGACTGAACTCGTCTCAAAGTCTGTTAAAGCAGAAGTTCATTATTTTTTTTTTCCCATATATTCCAAATACAGAATAATAGTTTTAAACAGCTCTTACCAGCACTGGGAAAAATCTATTCTACTTAAGGATTTGTAAGTATGGTTTCCACAGATCAGTCTCAAACCTTATTGCTTCACAACTGCAGTATCCCTTGAAAAAGAAATGAAATATTGAATGGTCTGTTAATTTGTCTCAAATGGCTTTTCAGATTTGGCAGGGGAGGGAGAACGGAATGGCCAACAGAGAACATTGACTTCAAAATATGACTGTAGAAGGGTTTCCTCTTATTAAAAAAGAATACACTGTATTAAACAGCTGAAAGTAAAGACAGCATTCAAAGCCCATGAGTCAAGCCACAGCCAAAACCGTGTTCTACCCCTAAGTATTGTTTTCTTTTCCTTTTTCTTTTTTTTTTCCTCTTTTTTTTTTTTAAACAAAGATTTTCCTCAACTGCCATTTTAATCTTCACCAGAGGGTGCTTCATCTTCAGATCCCTCATCCCCTGACTTTTCTGGTGGAGGGCTGGCTGATTTTTTCTTTTCTGGGGGACTTTCAGGCTCTTCATCCTCTTCTTTGGGGGATGGGGTCTTTTCTTTTGTTGCCTTGGAAGCTGTGGGGCGACCTGCCTTCCCTTTGCCTTTCACTGGGCTGGGGGTCACTGGAAAAAGAAAAACCTTGTAAAACTCAGCAGCAGCAGCAAGGGCACAAAAACTCACAGTAAATGGGATTTAAGTCATCCAGCAGCACTCTGACCATACCCACAGTGCTTATGGCACTAATTAGCAAAGCTGAAGTGAAGAGCAATCTAATGAGGTTTAAAAGCTGGTTAATTGCAGGTCCTGGCTAATTGCTGGATGTGACACCATGAATGGCCACAGCTCTTGTCAGAGCAGAGCACACACTGCTGTTATCATCTGAAACTTCCTGCAGAAATGCATCCAGTTTTCCTCTGGCTCACATGTCCCCACCCTGACAACATCACCAAGTCCCAAACACAGCCACAAATTGTTGATATTTGGCTGTGAGACACAGAAAACCAGAATGCAGCACCTCAGCAGGGAAAGTTTTCAACACCATGAGTTTTTACCATCAAGACACAGATCCCAAATCAAGCCCTAAAGGAAGAATTAAAGCCAACTCATTATTCCACACTGCTGCTTTAAATCATTTTAAATTAAAGCATTTGGGCCCTTCCACATTTTTGTGGGTTATCTGTGACCCCAAGATTTCAACCAAGCCTCTGCAGCAAAAAGAAAATCTGGGTTTTAAAGTGAGGAGCTCTCCTTGCACAGACTCACCTGTAGCCTTTAGCCTGGGCTTGGGCATTTTCTTTTCTTTCCTCTCTGGCTTGGATTTCTTGGAGACCTTCTTATTTTTCTTTTTTGAACTGCCATAGTCACTGTCATCATCATCTTCCATGAGGAAGTCTTCATCACTTCCTGAATCTGCTGGAAGCATAAGGAAATTTCAGTTTTTTGGGGGAAAAAAAAAAAAAAGGAAAAGATAGAGCTGAGATCTGCCAGTGAAATTGTGGACACAGACTGAGACTTTGTGGGCTTCCATTTATCTGCTGTGCTAAAATCTGACTGGGTTCTTACATCAGCAATGCCACAGGGACAGCAAAATAAGTTTACAATTATCCTGTAGGGCTTACAAAGAAATAGATCTCAGGAAAACACACACTCACACCTCTGGGGGGGAAAAAAAATCTTTATCTTCAAGGAAAAGGCACCAAGGTAAAGTTTCTTGTCTCACAGATTCTTCAAGATTGAACTCTTCAGTAATTTAAGGTTTTCTAAAATCTGTCATTGAAGCTTAAAAACTTTTGACTGCAAAATTTCCAGATCAGTTCTGAAGCATTGGCTCATCTCCCCCTGTACACGACCAACCTAGCATGCAGGAACAAGAATGGTGCAAATCCACGACAGATTCCAATTTTCAAGTTGCAGGAAGTTGCCACAGCCACATCGATATAATTTAAGTACTTAAATCTCATTCTGGATAAAAACTGCAGGGAAGGGATCAGCAGATCTACCACTTGTGGAGACAGATTTTGTGGGACAGACACACAGACACCTTTGCTGCAAACCTGGAGCACAATTCCAGCTGGGAAAGCCCAACTTGGGCAGACACACAGTGAAAATGAAGTTACTCAGGAGCACGATTTCCATCCTGTGTCCCAGCCAAAAAGCAAACTGTGGGGTTTTTTTTGCTGTCCCTTTTTCCAATCCCATTTACTCACTCTCCTGGAACTGTGCCTCATCATCCTCCTGCTCCTCCTCCTCACTGCCCACATCATCCATGAGCATCTCCCTCTGTTTGGAGGCTGCCTTGGACGCCGCCTGCCGCTGCTGACGAACATTTTTGTGATCTTCCTTCTCATCCTCGCTGTCCTCTGCAGAGAAAGGCCCCAAACTGTGCTGAGCACAGGGCACAGAGCTCCTGCCACCAGGCAGCACGTGGGCAGGACAGGGCAGGGCATTTTTCAGGGCTTAAAACACCCACTGAGTTACTGTGGGGACAGTTCAACCTCATCACCACCCTCCTTACTCACCCAACAAAGATCCTCTGCAGTATTTTCACTGAAAAATAACCAATTTTTTTTCATCTCTATTTTTCTTTTTACCTGCAGGCCTTTTCCTGGATTTGGAGGCTGCTCTCTTGTTCTTGTCTGGTTTAGCTTTCTTTCCTTTTTTGCTTTTTTGAGAGCTCTCGTAGTCGCTGTCGGCTTTGCCGTCGTCAGCTCCCACATCATCATCTTCACTGCCAAAATCTTCATCTGCAAGGAAAAGGCACCAAGATGAAGTTTCTTGGATCATTCTGGATAAAAGCTGCAAGGAAGGGATCAACACATCTATCCAATTCTGAAGACAAATTTTATAGGATCATCACATTACACCAAAAAACCCCAACACCATTATCCCAAACCGGGATGGGAAATAACAGCAGCAGAGGCAACATATGGCTTAAAATAAATCAGAATCATTTAATTTCTGCCTCAAATCCTACTCCTGCAGCTCTCACAGGTGTGAAGAGACAGGATTTAAAGATACAATGCTGTCAGTTACCTGCTGAGTGTGAATCATCTTTCTTAGTCTTCACATCTTTGTCTTCTGAATCCTCACTGAAATGAGAGCAGGAGAAGGTCTGAGTGCTTGTCTCAACTTTGATTTCAGTCACTCTTGTGTGGAAATGAACAACTGTTAGAGAGCAAACTGATGGCCAGGATGAGAATTTCCACTTTTCCTGGACACACTTCAGATTACTCAGCAGTCTGTGGAGTTATCATGGTTGGGAAGATAAAGCTCAAAGTGTGAATCCCAGAAAAACTCAAACGAGGCAGGAAATAATGAGACTGAGGGGAAGCCTGCACTTCCCTCTCAAACCAAGCCACAAGGCTTCCCCTTTAGCTACAACTCTGATGGTCTCTATGCAGTCCATAAATGAAATCAGGGTTTATCCTGAATAGATTTTAAGTCAGCACTTGTCTTTATGCCATTGTTCAGATTCCATTCTGTGCATCTTCCTTTTACTGGCACGTGTCTGGTCTAAGCTTGCTAAAATTATTTGATAATTTGGAAAATAAAAGACATCTTGGGGTGACAGAAGAAGAACCAGCTGGCAGAACCTCAAGAACCCTCAGAACCAGCATCCCTGAAGCTGAGCTCTGTCATAAAACCAAAAAAATTATTTCAAAGGTCTCGTGGCAATCACTGGGGGACTGCAAAATGGGAATTCTACAGGAAAATTTCCCTTTTCAGTAGGGCAGCACTGAGGCTGCTGGAGCAACTCAGCTCCCAAACCAAGCTGTGTGTTTACAGATTACCCAAAATGAGGAACAAAGAGCCACAAAACTCCCAGATGTCCCTGTCCCCAGTGCCACCCACCCCTGGCACCACAGGATGCTGTGAGAGGATGCAGAATGGGGCCACCCTGTCCTGCCTCCCCTGGGGAGGCAGCAGCTGCCAATCCTCGTGCCCAAATCCCCTTCCCTGCCTCTCCAGCTGCCTCTGGAGCACTGCTGATCCATCTAAAATCAAGTTTAAGTTGCCCTCCTGAGCATCTCTCACTGATGTTTACAGAATGAGGAACAAAGAGCCACAAAACTCCCAGATGTCCCTGTCCCCAGTGCCACCCACCCCTGGCACCACAGGATGCTGTGAGAGGATGCAGAATGGGGCCACCCTGTCCTGCCTCCCCTGGGGAGGCAGCAGCTGCCAATCCTCGTGCCCAAATCCCCTTCCCTGCCTCTCCAGCTGCCTCTGGAGCACTGCTGATCCATCTAAAATCAAGTTTAAGTTGCCCTCCTGAGCATCTCTAACTGATGTTTACAGAATGAGGAACAAAGAGCCACAAAACTCCCAGATGTCCCTGTCCCCAGTGCCACCCACCCCTGGCAGCACAGGATGCTCTGAGAGGCTGCAGAACTTGGGGCAGGAGCTGCACCTTGTCCTGCCTCACCTGGGGAGGCAGCAGCTGCCAATCTTGGTCCCCAAATCCCCTTCCCTGCCTCTCCAGCTGCCTCTGGAGCACTGCTGATCCATCTAAAATCAAGTTTAAGTTGCCCTCCTGAGCATCTCTAACTGATGTTTACAGAATGAGGAACAAAGAGCCACAAAACTCCCAGATGTCCCTGTCCCCAGTGCCACCCACCCCTGGCACCACAGGATGCTCTGAGAGAATGCAGAACTTGGGGACCTTGCCCCAGCTCACCTGGGGATGAGCAGCTGCCAATCCTGGTGCCCAAATCCCTTTCCCTGCCTCTGGAGGCTGGAGCAGTGCTGACAGAGTTCACACAAGATTTCTGCCTCACCTCAGCACCTCAGCCCTGACTGGAATTCCACCCCCTGCAAGATCTGCTCCCCACCCGGGACAAAGCTCTGAGAAATGTTCCAAGAGAGGCAAAGCTGCTTTTCTCACCTGTCCTCCTGAGAATTCTTCCCAGACCTCCTCTTGTTTTTAGCCTCCCGGGGAGACGAGCGGATTTTCTTGGATGGGGGACCCGAATCTCTTCCATAATCATCATCTGGACAGGACAGCACAGCACAAGAGGGGCTGGGTCAAACTCACCCCACCACTCCAACTGAGCATTTCATGCACAGCAAAAAGGAAAACTTCATAAAGCTTCACCAAAACTCTGGTGGAAGCAAAGTCCTTGTTCAAATCTGAGCTTTTCTTCTGCCAAGAGCACCATGGAAATGTTCTGTGCAGCCAAGCCTCACCCAGGGAACAGCACCAAACCTCACCAGAGCATTCATTTTGGACTTGGTTCTTTTAGAAAGCCATTCAAAATGAACACCCATATGGGTTTCTGCAGGATTCCACCAGCACACACTGGTATTTACTGTCCTGGGATGGATGAAGGATGCCGTGGGTCCAGCAGAACCCCTTACAGCTCTTACACAGTACCTCGTTTAATAAATAAAACCACTGTAATTAAGAATTATGCATATTTGCATCATTTTAATTATCAGTACAACCTTAGCATTGAGTTTACCTTCCAAGAACTCAAAACAGTCCAGGAATTTTCTGTTAATTCACACAGATTTCATTTTAGAAATGAGATCCAGAAATGTTAATTCACTGAGATCACATTATTTCCAAATGTGATCCAGCACTATTTTGTTAATTCATACAGATCATATTATTTTAGAAATGGGATCCAGAATTTTAATTCAGAGATCATATAATTTCCAAATGTGATCCAGCACTATTTTGTTAATTCATACAGATCATATTATTTTAGAAATGGGATCCAGAATTTTAATTCAGAAATGACATTTTTACCAAACGTGATCCAGCACTATTTTGTTAACTCACACAGATGATATTATTTTAGAAATGGGATGCAGAATTTTAATTCAGAAATTACATTTTTACCAAACGTGATCCAGCACTATTTTGTTAATTCACACAAATGATATTTTTTTAGCTGCCATCCCCCCCAAATGCCTGATAATGTGGGCTCAACTGGAGCCATAAAATAAATGGAAAACATCTTTTCCTGTGGAAAAAAGTGCCATCAAGGAGCCTCTGTCCCAGAACAGAACACAGAGCAAGAAGGAATTGCTGCCAACAGCCTCCAGGCACTACAACAATACCAGCATTAAATAATAAGATTTCTATCACCATTGTTTGTTTAATACAAAACATATGAGAATGATTATATTTTCAAATACTTATTAACAGTTCAGGCTGTGAAGAACAGAACCTCCTTGGAATTGGAGTTGAAGATGTGATTAGAAGCAGAACAATTAATATGCATGGCAATAACGAGGAGATTAAGGAAAAAATAAAGTTATTTACCAGCATCATCTGATTCCTGAAACTGGGAGTAATCCACCACCTTCCTGTTCCTGTCAAAAAGCAGGAGACAAAAATTAGGAATTCATCCCTTCAGGGCCACTAAAGCTTGAAGGAACACCAAGTGCCACATCCCCATTTCCAGTGCTGCATCTGCAGCCCAAAAACACCCCCAGAAAACCTGGATAATTCAGCCACCTGCACCTCTGCAGTCAGAAATGGGCACGAAGTACAAACCAGCATTTTCCTGAGGAGATTTTATAATAATCTGGATTGCAGCCTCACAATGTCACTGTTCTTGTTGGTAAATACAAAAAAAGTATAAATAAAACTTTTCTGGAGTGCTCCTTTGGGAGCTGCTGCTCCTCACAGCTCACCTGTGTCTCACCTTCTCCCCCAATTTTTATTTTCCTGTTTTTAAAGCACCTGAAGCTCCCTGGGGTTTCCAGGAGCTTTTTCTGAATGAGTTACACTGACCTGGAAGTCAACAAATCAAATCTGCTTCTTGAACTTACTGCAGGCTCTGAAATGGAACTGTTGTTGTTTTATCAGCACCTTGTGCAGCAAAGCCCAGCTGAGTTATTGATAAAGTACCAAATCCCAACTCTTTTAGTGATAAAGTACCAAATCCCAACTCTTTTATTGATAAAGTATCAAATCCCAACTCCTTTTATTACTAAAGTATCAAATCCCAACTCTTTTATTGATAAAGTATCAATTTCCAGCTGTTTTATTGACAAGGGATCAAACCCCAGCTGATTGACTGATAAAGTATCAAATCCCAACTCCTTTACGGACAAGATATCAAACCCCAGCTGCTTTACTAAGTACCAAATCCCAACTCTTTTATTGATAAAGTATCAAATCCCAACTCTTTTTATTGCTAAAGTACCAAATCCCAACTCTTTTTATTGCTAAAGTATCAAATCCCAACTCTTTTTATTGCCAAAGTATCAAATCCCAACTCTTTTTATTGATAAAGTAGCAAATCCCAACTCTTTTTATTGATAAGGGATCAAAGCCTAGCTGATTTATTGATAAAGTATCAAATCCCAACTCTTTTATTGATAAAGTATCAATTTCCAGCTGTTTTATTGACAAGGGATCAAACCCCAGCTGATTGACTGATAAAGTATCAAATCCCAACTCCTTTACGGACAAGATATCAAACCCCAGCTGCTTTACTGACAAAGATATCAAATCCCAGCTCTTTTATTGATAAAGTATCAAATCCCAACTCCTTTATGGACAAGATATCAAACCCCAGCTGCTTTACTGACAAAGATATCAAATCCCAGCTTTTTTATTGAAAATAAATCAATTCCCAGCTCTTTTTACTGATAAAATATCAAATCCCAGCTCTTTTATTGATAAAGTATCAATTCCCAGCTGCTTTATTGATAAGGTATCAAATGCCAACTCTTTTATTGAAAAGATGTCCATTCCCAGCTGTTTTTTGGATAAAAGTATCAAATCCCAATTGTTTTTTTATTGACAAGAAGTCAATTCCCAGCTGTTTTACTGACAAGATATCAACTCCCAGCTCTTTTATTGATAAAGTATCAATTCCCAGCTCTTTTATTGATAAAGTATCAGTTCCCAGCTCTTTTATTGATAAAGCATCAATTCCCAGCTCTTTTATTGATAAAGTATCAGTTCCCAGCTCTTTTATTGATAAAGTATCAGTTCCCAGCTCTTTTATTGATAAAGTATCAGTTCCCAGCTCTTTTATTGATAAAGTATCAGTTCCCAGCTCTTTTATTGATAAAGTATCAGTTCCCAGCTCTTTTATTGATAAAGCATAAATTCCCAGCTCTTTTATCGACAAGATATCAATTCCCAGCTCCTTTATTGATAAACTATCAATTCCCAGCTCTTTTACTGATAACTGCCCGATAAAACAGCGACCAAAGGAAGCCAAGGCAGCCAATGAAATTCCATAAAATCCATTAGATTTCAGCTGCAATTCCTCCAATCCAGACCCCTGGAAGGGCTGGGAACACAGAGGTTCCCAGAGCCCCTTCCCAGCCCTTCTGGCCCAGAGCCAAGGGGATAAATTGGGTTTTGCACAATCCCCACAGAGCTCAGTTCTTCAGTGGGAACTCCACCCGGCACGGGGATCCTTCCTCATCCTCCTCCTCCTCATCCTCCCCTTCTCCTGCTCTCAGCACAGTCCACACTGAGCTGCATTCACTGTCAATTAATTCATTACCATGAATTAATTGCTGATAAACCCAGTCAGTTCAAAGACACCCCAAAGCCAGCAGTGCTGATCCATCTCAAATCAAGTTTAAGTTGCCCTCCTGAGCATCTCTCACTCATGGCTTGCAGAAGGATGAAGAAGCAAAACTGGTTTTATTTCAACCTAAACATCTTAAGGAAATTAAAAAAACAAAAAAAATTAAACCAATCCCTTAAAAAACATCCCGAAAATACAAATGAAAGGAAGATTGGTACAGGTAAATCAAGTTTAAGTTGCTCTCCTGAGCATCTCTAACTCATGGCTTGCAGAAGGATAAAGGAGCAAAAGTGGTTTTGTTTCAACCTAAACATCTCAAAAAAAATTAAAAAACCAAAAAATGAAACCAATCTCTCAAAAAACATCCCAAAAATACAAAAAAAAGACAAATGAAGACAAGATTGGTACAGGTAAATCAAGTTTAAGTTGCCATCCTGAGCACCTCTAACTGATGGCTTACAGAAGGATGAAGGAGCAAAAGTGGTTTTGTTTCAACCTAAACATCTTTAAGAGATTTAAAACCCAAAAAATTAAACCAATCACTCAAAAAACATCCCAAAAATACAAAAAAAAGACAAATGAAGACAAGATTGGTACAGGTAAATCAAGTTTAAGTTGCTCTCCTGAGCATCTCTAACTCATGGCTTACAGAAGGATGAAGGAGCAAAATTGGTTTTATTTCAACCCAAATCTCTTAAAGAAATTAAAAAACCAAAAAATGAAACCAATCCCTTAAAAAACATCCCAAAAATACCAAATGAAGGAAGATTTGTACAGGTAAATCAAGTTTGTCCTTCTGAGCACCTTGAACTCATGGCTTACAGAAGGACGCAGGAGCAAAACTGGTTTTATTTCAACCCAAATCTCTTAAAGAAATTAAAAAACCAAAAAATGAAACCAATCCCTTAAAAAACATCCCAAAAATACAAAAAAAAGACAAATGAAGACAAGATTGGTACAGGTAAATCAAGTTTAAGTTGCTCTCCTGAGCATCTCTAACTCATGGCTTGCAGAAGGATAAAGGAGCAAAACTGGTTTTATTTCAACCCAAACATCTCAAAGAAATTAAAAAACCAAAAAAATGAAACCAATCCCTTAAAAAACATCCCAAAAATACCAAATGAAAGGAAGATTAGTACAGGTAAATCAAGTTTGTCCTTCTGAGCACCTTGAACTCATGGCTTACAGAAGGACGCAGGAGCAAAACTGGTTTTATTTCAACCCAAACCTCTTAAAACACCAAAAAATTAAACCAATCCCTTAAAAAAACACCCCCAAAATACCAAAACAGACAAATGAAAGAAGACAAGATTTGTACAGGTAAATAAAATTTCATTTTCTCTCCTGTACAAGCACCTTGAACTCATGGCTTACAGAAGGACGCAGGAGCAAAACTCTTTATTTCAACCCAAACTTCTTCAATTAAAAACCCAAAAAATGAAACCAATCCCTCAAAACCACCCCAAAAATACCAAAAAAGCCAAATGAAGACAAGATTTGTAGATGTTGAAGCCCACCCGTGCTTTGGAGAGGAACAAAGCCCAGCAGCACTGGGTCAGTCCCTCCCAGGCTGAGTGTGGAAAATTCCAATTTAGGGACCCAATCACTGTGGAATTTGAAGGGGATGGGCACTGTTGAGTGTGATTTAAAATATAAATATAAATTTGAAGGGGATGGCCATTGATCAGTGTGATTTAAAATATAAATATAAATTTGAAGGTGATGGCCATTGATCAGTGTGGTTTAAAATTTAAATGGGATGGGCATTGTTCAGAGTGGTTTAAAAAACAATTTTAAATTTAAAGGGGATGGACATTGTTCAGTGTGATTTAAAATATAAATTTGAAGGGGATGGGCACTGTTGAGTGTGATTTAAAATATAAATATAAATTTGAAGGGGATGGGCAGTGTTCAGTGTAGTTTAAAATATAAATTTAAAGGGGATGGCCATTGATCAGGGTGGTTTAAAATTTAAATTTGAAGGGGATGGCCATTGATCAGGGTGGGTTAAAATTTAAATTTGAAGGGGATGGGCATTGTTCAGGGGGTTTGAAATATAAATTAAATCTGAAGGTAACTTCCTTGCTGATCCAGATTAACACAAAGTGTGCATGTAAAAAGTTCAGGGGTAAGTTTTTAATAACAGCTGTCAGTGCAATAATTGGAACAAACAGGAGCTCATCACGTGCTGGGATGGAAGCACTCAGTGAAGTCATTCTCAGTAATTTAACTGAAATGCACAGAAATTCCTGCAACCTGCACTTGCTGCCTGCCAAAGTGCAATTCTGGAATTATGGAAAGCAACACCAACATGTCAAAGGATCACTAAATGCCCATAAAACTGAGAAAAAAGGTCATCCTCATACCTCATCTTCAATTTAGTCCCTGAACATTCAGTTTTTAAATCAACATCAGCACAGCCCTACAATCAGACAGAAAAAATTTGGGGTTTTTTAAGAGAATGCAGAGATGAAATGCAAAATCAAGATGTCAAAGGATCACTAAATGCCCATAAAACTGAGAAAAAATGTCATCCTCATACCACAACTTCAGTTTAGTCCCTAAACATTCAGTTTTTAAATCAACATCAGCACAGCCCCACAATCAGACAAAGTTCTGGGGTTTTTTTAAGGGAATGCACAGATTCCCAGATATTTGTAAGGGCATTAAACCCCACATTTTAAAAAATCCCACAATGTATAATCCTGCAAAGCAATGCTAAAAGGAAACTTCCTAATTCCAGGCACTGAAAAGAATGTTTAGGTCAAATCCACCCACCCATCCTCAATCCAACAAGGAGATTCAATGGTTATTGAGGTTTTTTTGTGGTTTTTTCAGCACAGCCTTGATTTAAGCAATGTAACCAAAAATCCTCAGCAGCTCTGAACGAAGCTCCAGCCCCTCCTGAGCCTCAGGTTTCACCTCCAGGGAAAGGTGGGACCAATCTCATCACAAATATTGCCATTAAAAGCACTTTTTGGTAGATTTTTTATACACAGAAAACACCAATTCCAGCCAGAAGTGTTTCCTGCAAAGCCAATCTGCACTGCTGGATCTGGGCTCTCCATGACCACGGATTTCAAATCACCACCAGAAGGTGGCACGGGGCACTGGTGACAGGCAGGGACCCAAAGAGGAAACTTTGGGGTTAATCTGGGCACAAACTGGGCCCAGGACTCAGCACTGAGGGTCCCAGCGCAGAGCTCAGAGCTGGGTCTGGCCTCATTCCCCCTTCAGGTTCTCAGGATTTTCAGGGATCCACAAAACCATTCACTGATTTCTGCAGCAGTTTTGTGCTCTTTCTCTGTTTGATTTTAACTAGAATTGAGATTTTATTACAGAAATGATGCAGAGAAGGAGGGGAACCAAACCCAAACATCAGCTCACCCCCCCACCCTGGCATTCTGAATTTCCTTGTACCCCCACTTCATTTCTGGTTTTCAGACTGAAAGAGAGCAAGAATCACCTTTTTATTCCTCAGTTCTGGAGCACACAGCATCACTCAGCTCTATTAAGTGCCAGGAACTTGCCTGCAATCCCACAGAACTTTTCCACAATCACAATTATTTCTACTTCACATTGCCCAGTGACAACACAAGTTACACTTAATAGTAAAATAAAATCTCACCCTTCCACTGCAGTGCCCACAGCAGGCTGGGATTCAAATCCAGAAAAATGAAAGATGCAAAGCCTTGAAGCACTGAGATAAATTCATAACTGGCTTTAGGCTTCAAATGAATGACCAAAAAACCCCTGGGATTTCCAGCCCTGCCCACAACAGCTCAATTTACAAAGCCTGCAGGAGAAGACCAGCAAGTAAAAGTGAGCAGTGAGAAAAAGCAGAAGAAAAGCTGCACCAGAAGTCAAAATTCTGACTTTAAAATTTTAAACTTTAAAACTTTAAATTCATTGATGATGTATATATAAAAAATAGTGGCTTCAAGTATTGAATTTCATTTTATTTTATCCCTAGAGGCAGCCCCAGCTCTCTGCAGAACTTCAGGAGAGTTACACAAGAGATGCAGAAGTTCAGTGATTTCAGGTTCCCTCAGTTTTCACTCCTTGCCTTTTTCTGGAGCACTGAAAGCCCATCATTACCCACGCAGGGGAAATGGAACTGTGCAGGAAGCACCTGGCTCTCAGTGCCAGCCACTGTAAACACCACACTTTATTACTACTTAATTTTAAATAACTGGCATTAACAGCCAGACTCAGCCTCAGGTCAATTTTCTCAACAAGTGGAGTAAAAACTTGGGATTTTTGGATGGATTTTATGAAGCTCACTGCTTTGGGTGCACACATATTCACCAGAACCCAGCAGCCAACACCAAGAAATTCACAGAACACTGACTGGAGGAAAACTCTCCCACCACTCCATCTCTGATGAAGAACCTTGCACCAGGCTTCCATTTCCCAAAAACCAAAGACAGGCAGACAGAACTTCATTCCAGCATTAACTCATGAACGGATTGAAACCTGTAGGCAGGGTTTTCTGGCTGGCAGAGCACTGAATATTTACCTTTTTCCCCTGGGAGGGCTGTAAAACCCAGGGAGATAAGGGGCTGCTGCATCTCTCCTGCCCCGTGCCAGGTTCTGGGCTCTCACAACCTGCTGGACTTTGGTGTTTCATTTTCCTGCAGAGCTGAGAGCAGGCACAGCTCTCACAACGCTCCAGGACTGGACAGAGGCGTTTTGTTTTAATTATTCATTTGAAACCCTTGCAAAAATACTTAATTCCAGCAAGCTCAGAGGCTCTATTTTTTAAAGACCTTTCCCGACCTGGAGGAAATCTCTGACACTGAAGTGTCCCCTCAGGCAGCAGAGTCACATCAGCACTAATTTGGGCAGCTCACCCAGCACTCAGGCACTCCCACGCTCAGCAAAGCACTCCTGGGCTCCATTTATGTTTTAAATTCTGCATTGTCAGAGATGTTACTTAAATACAAATGCAAATGCTGTCACCTCTAAATGTGCAGATGCATCACTGTCACAATTAATTTGTGCCTATTAGTTAAGTTAGCTAAAATACTCAACATCCACAGCCCAGCCCAGGCTCACTGGGACTAAAACTCCAACTGGGACTAAAACTCCAACTGGGACTAAAACTCCAACTGGGACTAAAACTCCAACTGGGACTAAAACTCCAACTGGGACTAAAACTCCAAGCAGTCCCTTGAGAATGAAGAAATTCCAACAACACCGTGGGAAACCTCACACCTTTGCTATAAAGACACCTTAAATAACGAGTTCCCTCTTTTGCCACCTCCTTGGTAAAGCTTAGAGACCCAAGGGAGTCACAGAATATCCTGAGCTGGAATGGACTCACTGGGATCATCCAGTGCCACAGACACCCCAAAACCCCTGCAGAGACACCCCAAAACACCACCCTGGGCACAGACAGCCCAAAATCCCTGCAGAGACACCCCAAAACCCCACCCTGGGCACAGACACCCCAAAATCCCTGCAGAGACACCCCAAAACCCCAATCCCTGCAGAGACAGCCCAAAACCCCACCCTGGGCACAGACAGCCCAAAACCCCTGCAGAGACACCCCAAAACCCCACCCTGGGCACCCCTGGCAGCACTGCCCGAACTCCCCCGCAGCTCTGCGGCTGTGCCCATCCCCTGGGGAGCCTGAGCAGCACCCAGCACCCTCAGGGAGACGAAAGACCCCAAACATTTCCCCAGACACCCACGGCGAGCACAGCTCCAGCCCTTCCCTCGGGCACCACCTCCGCGCTGCATCGCACCCCTCCGAGCCCACCCAGCCCAGCCCCACCGGGCACAGCCCAGCCCCACCGGGCACAGCCCAGCCCGGCCGCCGAGGGCTCGCAAAAGGAAAGAATCGGGGCTGGAGCGGCGGCGGGGCGAGCCCGGAGCGCGCAGGCCGGGCGGAGCGGGGCGCGCGGCGGCGCCGCTCGCTCCGAGGGGGCGGCTCCCGGCGGCTCCTCCCCTCCGCGTGGTTCCCCATGCACCTCCCCCGTCAGGCGCCGCCGCCGCTCCCCGCTGCCGATCCCGCTGCCGCTCCCTGGTCCCGGCGGCGGCCCCGGTGTCGGTGCCGGTCGCGCTCCCGCCGCTCCCCCCCGCAAAATGGTCGCGCTCGCCCCGCCGAGAGGATGCGAGCGGGGGGGCGGCGCCGCCGACCCCGCCGGCCACGCCCCCCTCGGCAGCCGATTGGTTACAACCCGCGAGACCCCGCGCCCCATTGGCCCGTTCGAACCATCACGGCGCGCAGGGCCCGCCCCCTGTCCCCGCGGGGAGGGCGGGCAGCGCGGCCCGCACGCGGCGGAGCGCCGGCGGCAGATTCGCCACGCGCTCCCGGTGCCGCCGCGGCCGCTCCGCGCCCTGTCCCGCCCCTCCCGCCGCGCCCGCCGCGTCCCTCCGTCACCGGCGGCAAGCCGGAATTTTTTCCCGTTTCTCCGGGAATTTTTCGTGGCGCTGCGGCGCCTCAAGGCCCGAGGCGCAGATTCGCCGCGCGGGCCCGGCGCGGTTTTGGAGGGAAAAGGCGGCCCCGGGCGCGCGTTCCCAGTAATTAATTTTTATTAATAAAAAATGCAAAAATTCGGTGGCAGCGACGGGTTCTGACCCCAGCACTGATGTCACCGATGCCACTTCTCCCTGTGCGAGTCAGCAGTTAAGTACAGGCACAATTCATGCAAAGTCCAATGTAGATTTTGGATTTTTTTGCACTTTGAACTCGTCAGAAATCCCAAAATTGACTCATTTTGGTGAGGAAAGGGGATGCTTTAATCATGGAAAAATTAAATTATTCCACAGTCATTAAAATGCAGCTTCTCCCTTTTGCTTTGCGTTTTGGTCGTTGGAGGTTCATCCCTCCATTTTAATAAAAAGAACATTTAAATCCTATATTTATAATTTTTTTTTATATTTTTGATGCTAATTTTTATATTGGGAACTGTGAGAAGATGGTTCAATGATACAAATATTATCAGATTTTGAGGAGAAATGATAATTTGGGTTTTTCTCACCAGCAGCATTTCCCCTGTGCTGGCCAACACAACTCATGCAAAACCAAGAAATTTGATTTTTTACACTCTAAAATCCCTCCAAAGCCCCAAAATCCCTCATTTTAGTGCGAAAAAATACATGAAAAACCATGAAAAAATTAAAAATATTCCATAATCATTAAAATGCAGCTTCTCACCTTTGCTTTACACTTTGGTCTTTGGAGGTCCATGCCTCATTTTAATAAAAATTACATTGAAATCCAATTTTTACACAGCGAGAAGATGGTTTGATGATACAAAAATTATCAGATTTATAGGAGAAAATCCAATTTTTGGATAATTTCAGTTCCTTTCATCAACCCCGCATGATTTTATTGGAATTCCTTTGGAATTGTGGCCGTTTTTGCTGAAAAGAGAGGCCCAAAATACAAATTCCACCCCAAGGAATTCGCCCAAAATCTGCATTTTTATGTAGCCCAATAAAAATGAATAATTGAGGATATTTCAGCTGAGGTCGTTTGGGTTCTGGTTTTTTAAATTTTATTTTAATTATTTTTTAGTTGGGAGTTAGTTTGGGGTTTTTCTGGGTGTGTATCTGGGATTTTTGGGGTTTTTTGGGGGTGTATTTGAGTTTTTTGGGTGTGTATTTGGGATTTTTCTTAAATTTTATTTTCAAGTTTTTTTTAGTTGGGAGTTTGTTTGGGGGTTTTTTGGGTGTGTATTTGGAATTTTTGGGGTTTTTTTGGGGTGTATTTGAGTTTTTTGGGTGTGTATTTGGGATTTTTTGGTGTATTTTGGTTTTTTGTGTGTTTATTTGGGGTTTTTTTTGAGTGTGTATTTTGGGTTTTTGAGTGTGTTTTTGGATTTTTTTCTTTTTTTTATTTGGGTTTTTTTTGGGGTTGTTTTTGGGACTGGTTTTTGTTTTGGTTTGGTTTTTTTTGTTTGGTTGGTTTGGGGTTTTGTTGGGGGTTTTTTTTTGTGTGTATTTGTGATTTTTTGGGGTGTGTATTCGGGATTTTTTGGGTGCATATTTGGATTTTGGGGTTTGTATTTGGGTTTTTTGAGTGTTTATTAGGGATTTTTTGTGTGTATTTGTGATTTTTTGGGGTGTGTATTCGGGATTTTTTGGGTGCATATTTGGTTTTTTTGGGGGGTGTATTTGGGTTTTTTTGAGGGTTTATTAGGGATTTTTTGGGGTGTATTTGAGTTTTTTGGGGTGTGTATTTGGGATTTTTTTGTGTGTGTATTTGGGTTTTTTGAATGTGTATTTGGATTTTTTTCTTTTTTTGTTTTGGGTTTTTCGGGGGTTGTTTTGGGGGTTGGTTTTTGGTTTGGTTTGGTTTGTTTGGGGGGTTTTGTTGGGGTTTTTTTGGGTGTGTATTTGGGTTTTTTGGTGTCTGTTTGGGATTTTTGGGGTGTTTATTTGGGTTTTTTTGGGTGTTTATTTGAGGGTTTTTTTGGGGTGCATATTTGGTTTTTTGGGTTGTGTATTTGGGTTTTTTACGTGTCTATTTGGGTTTTTTTGAGCGTGTACTTGGGTTTTTTGAGTGTTTATTAGGGATTTTTTTGGGTACATATTTGGTTTTTTTGGGGTGTGTATTTAGGGTTTTCTGGGTGTGTATTTGGGGTTTTTGGGTGTTTATTTGGGGGGTTTTTCTGGGTGTGTATTTGGGTTTTTTGAATGTGTATTTGGATTTTTTTTTCTTTTTTTGCTTTGGGGTTTTTTTGGGGGTTGTTTTTGGGTTTGGTTTTTGTTTTGTTCTGCTTTTTTGTCATTTGGTTTGTTTGGAGGGTTTTGTTGGGGTTTTTTTTTGTGTGCATTTGGGTTTTTTGGGGTTTGTGTTTGGGGTTTTTTGGGTGCATATTTGAGGTTTTTTGGGTGTGTATTTGAGTTTTTTGGGTCTGTATTTGGATTTTTTTTCTATTTTTTTCTTTTTTGTTTTGGGGTGTTTTTTTCTTTCCTTTTTTTTTTGTTTGTTTCTTTGGGTTTTGTTGGAGTTGGGGTTTTTTGGGTGCATAGTTGAGGTTTTTTGGGTGTGCATTTGGGTGTGTATTTGAGTTTTTTTTAATATGTATTTGGGTTTTTTTGAGTGTGTATTTAGGATTTTTTTTCTATTTTTTCTTTTTTGTTTTGGGGTATTTTTTTCTTTCCTTCCTTTTTTTTTTGTTTGTTTCTTTGGGTTTTGTTGGGTTTTTTTGGGTTTTTTTTGTTTGTTTTTTGGGCTATTTCAGAGGAATTTGTTTTCCTGGCAACACAGGGCACTTCACACCGTGTATTTTATACATTTTTATTGTTTTTATTCCTAATTTCAACTTGTAAACTCATTTCTTGGCACTGCTGAGCCACCAAAACAACACCCACAGCCAGCAGTGCCCAATTTCTATTCCAAACGCTGCCCCAGTGACATTGATGTGCATTAAAAATCCATTTTTTCCCTCTTTACACACCCATAACACTGAATTTCACAACGGTCAGCACCCTGCCTCTAAAATACTTCAGTGGAACAGCAAGAAATTTAAAAAAACACTTTTAAGCTTTAAAAAAAGCAATAAAATTAAAAAAAAAAACCAAAATAAAAGCTGAATTTTGATATTTTTGACTTCTCGAGGCTGCAGTAAAATTCTGCAGCTTGTGAAGAAACCAAGTGCAGGCACCAAGGCACAAAATCCTGGAAATTTGTGGGGTTTTGGGTTAAAAATTGAAATTCCAGGAAGGAAAAAGGAGAAGGAAACAGAACAGAGGCACACAGAGGGCAGGGAGTGAGCGCAGGGAGAAGGAAATTCCTTTTTTGCTCAAAAATGTCCCAAAATCCTCATTCCCGACCAGGCCAGGAGTGGAAATTCTGAGGCAGAATAAAGATAATTTCTGATTCCTGTTTGAAAAATTCAGGTTTTTACCCATCTGCATCAAAAAAGTTCAATTAAGCCATTTTTTGGCTTTCCCCTTTCAGGGGAAATAGTAATTTTTAAAATAATTTTGGGTTTAAAATTTTTAAATACAATAATAATTTCTTAATAATTTAAAAATAATTTTAAAATATTAAAAATATTTTTTAAAATAATTCTGGGGTTTAAAAATTTTTACTCTAATAATAATTGTTAATAATATTTTAAATAATTCTGGATTTTACATTTTAAAATATAATAATAATTTTAATAATAACTTTCAATAATTCTGGGTTTAAAAATTTTCAAATATGATAATTTAAAAAAGAATATTTCTTAATTCTGGGTTTAAAAATTTCAATATAATGATAATTTAAAAATAATAATTAAAAAATAATTCTGTGTTTTAAAAAATTTAAATATAATAATATTTCTTTCATAATAATTTTAAAAATAGTTCTGGGTTTAAAAATTTTCACATGATAATTTTTTAAATAATATTTTTTAATAATTCTGGGGTTAATTTTTAAAAATATGATAATTTTGATAATAATTTTTTAGCAATTCTGGGTTTAAAAATTTTAAAATACAATGATAATTTTAAAACAATAATTTAAAAATCATTTTGGGTTTTAAAAAGCAGAATTATTTCAGCTGGGCACCTCCCCTGCTCCTCCCTGGTTTAATCCAGGGGCATTTTTGGGCTTTATTTGGATTTTTTCTGCCAACCCCCAGAGCTGCCCAGAGAATTCGTTTTCCTCTCAGGTTGGGGCTCACAGCTCAATAAACGACTTTTCCTTTTGTGCAGCTTCTGGGGGGTTTATTTGACATTTTTTTCACGTTTTATTTGACATTTTTTCACATTTTATTTGACATTTTTTCACATTTTCACACTGTTACCCAACAGTAAATGTGGAAAAATAACTCCCCAAGTTATCTGGGACTGCAAACCCAAGGGCAGCACAGACATGCTCTGAAATAGATTTAAAAATTAGATTTCTTTTTTTGTTTAAAAATAAGATTTTATCCAAAGAAATGTCCAGTTTTATCCTGATGATCCAAATTTACAGGAGAAATTCCAATTTTAGGGTAATTTGAGGTCGTTTCAAGCCCTGCTTGAGCTCCATTGGATGGAGCAGGAATTGGGAATTTTTCTGGATTTTCCACCTCTGAGGAGAGCTCTTGGCTGAAACATTTCAAGTACAAAAATCAAGAAATAACACCTGGATCTTACGGGGTTTTGTGACAGCTCCTTCAAAAAATGAGGCACTTCCCTGGTGTTCTAAAAAAAACCAGAAATATTTATAGGATTAAATATTTACAGGATTAAAAACCATTTTTTAATTTTTTTTTTCTTTTTTCTTTTTTTTTTTGTTTAAGACAATGAAGTAAAATTCATCAAGGCACTTCCATTTTGCTGCTAACCAGCTCTCCCTGGGTGCAGAAAATTGTAATTTTAAGCACCCACAACCCCAAATTTGGCAATATTTGCACAGCCCTGGTATTTCAGCTTCGCATCAAAAACTGCAGCACAAATAATTCCAAATTTCTTGACCCTCACTGTTTAGTTTTAAATTCTTTTCAGCTGCAGAGAATGAAAACTCAGATTTTTTTGTGAAGGTAAAAAATATAAAATCCCTCTATGCAAGACAGGCAGGAGGAATAATTTACCTAATTCAGCAGGAATCAGGACATGACAATTTCCAGCCCTGTTTCCCAGTTAAGGAGGTAAAAAAACCAATTTTTCAAGGTTTTGTGATGAAATCCAAACCCAAAACGTGAGCAGGGCGATTGTGTTCCATCAGGAAATCATGGAACAGCAAATCCAGAATTAAACCCACAAAACTCCAGCTTTTAAGTGTGAATTCCCTAAAAACTCCTTCAGTTTGTACCAATTTTTTTTGGCCAGAACTGCTCTCCACCAGCAATATCTGGGGGAAAGTGGCACCAGAGAGAAATGGGAATTAAACCCATAAAACTCCCCCCCTGAAAAGTGTGAATTCCCTAAAAACTCCTTCAGTTTGTACCAATTTTTTGTCCCGAACTGCTCTCCACCACCAATATCTGGGGGAAAGTGGCACCAGAGAGAAATGGGAATTAAACCCATAAAACTCCACCCCTGAAAAGAGGGAATTCCCTAAAAATTCTCCTAAATTTGCACCAATTTTTAGGCCAGAACTGCTCTCCACCACCAATATCTGGGGGAAAGTTGCATCAGACAGAAATGGGAATTAAACCCTCAAAACTCCAGCTCTCAAAAGTGTGAATTCCCTAAAAATTCCCTCAGTTTGTACCAATTTTTTGTCCCGAACTGCTCTCCACCACCAATATCTGGGGGAAAGTTGCACCAGAGGGAAACGGGAATTAAACCCATAAAACTCCCTCCCTGAAAAGTCTGAATTCCCTAAAAATTCCCTCAGTTTGTACCAATTTTTTTTGGCCAGAACTGCTCTCCGCCACCAATATCTGGGGGAAAGTTGCACCAGAGGGAAACGGGAATTAAACCCATAAAACTCCCTCCCTGAAAAGTCTGAATTCCCTAAAAATTCTCAATTTGTACCAATTTTTAGGCCAGGATTACTCTCCACCACCAATATCTGGGGGAAAGTGGCACCAGAGGGAAATGGGAATTAAACCCATAAAACTCCACCCCTGAAAAGAGGGAATTCCCTAAAAATTCGCTCAGTTTGTACCAATTTTTAGGCCAGGATTACTCTCCACCTCCAATATCTGGGGGAAAGTGGCACCAGAGAGAAATGGGAATTAAACCCTCAAACCCCCAGCCGTCAAAAGTGTGAACTCCCCAAAAATTCTCAATTTGTACCAATTTTTTTTGGCCAGAACTGCTCTCCACCACCCAGCCCTGGGATGTGCAGGGGGAAAGTGGCTCCAGAGGGAAAATGGGAATGAAACCCATAAAACTCCATCCCTGAAAAGTCTGAATTCCCCAAAAATTCTCAATTTGTACCAATTTTTTTTGGCCAGAACTGCTCTCCACCACCAATATCTGGGGGAAAGTGGCTCCAGAGGGAAAATGGGAATTAAACCCTCAAAATTCCATCCCTGAAAAGTGTGAATTCCCTAAAAATTCGCTCAGTTTGTACCAATTTTTAGGCCAGAACCACTCTCCACCACCCAGCCCTGGGATGTGCAGGGGGAAAGTTACACCAGAAGGAAATGGGAATGAAACCCATAAAACTCCCTCCCTGAAAAGTGTGAATTCCCTAAAAATTCCCTCAGTTTGTACCAATTTTTTAGGCCCCAGCCGTCAAAAGTGTGAACTCCCCAAAAATTCTCAATTTGTACCAATTTTTAGGCCAGGATTACTCTCCACCACCAATATCTGGGGAGAAAGTTACACCAGAGGGAAAATGGGAATTAAACCCTCAAAACCCCAGCCGTCAAAAGTGTGAACTCCCCAAAAATTCTCAATTTGTACCAATTTTTAGGCCAGGATTACTCTCCACCACCAATATCTGGGGAGAAAGTTACACCAGAGGGAAAATGGGAATTAAACCCTCAAAACCCCAGCCGTCAAAAGTGTGAACTCCCCAAAAATTCTCAATTTGTACCAATTTTTAGGCCAGGATTACTCTCCACCACCAATATCTGGGGAGAAAGTTACACCAGAGGGAAAATGGGAATTAAACCCTCAAAACTCCATCCCTGAAAAGTGTGAATTCCCTAAAAATTCTCCTAAATTTGCACCAATTTTTAGGCCAGAACTGCTCTCCACCACCACTAACTGGGGGAAGGAGGCCCCAGAGGGAAATGGGGAGTGGTTCCTTCCCTTCCTTTCATCCCACAAAGTTTTTTTCCCTCCTCCTCCTCCCCTTCCCCACCCCACTAAAACAGCAGGGGGGTTTTTAGGGAGCTGTTTCCTCCCCAAAATCCCCCCTGGCTGCGGGAGGATGTGGGGAAGGCAATTGAGCAGCACTTGCCAAAAGCACTTTGGGCTGGCCCACAAGTGCCAAGGGCCCTTGTGGGGCCACAAAAGGGGTTTACAGCCCCCTCCTCCCCTGCCCAGAAAGGGGCAGCAGGAAATCCTCACCAGATTTTGGGGTCTCTGCTGCTCAGGGAGGACACAGAAACTCCTGACCAAATTTTGGGATCCCTGCTCCACAGGGGAAGTGAGGATTGTGATGGTCCAGGAAGGGCAGGAGCAGTTCCTGACCGAATTTTGGGATCCCTGCTCCACAGGGAGAGTGAGGATTGTGATGGTCCAGGAAGGGCAGGAGCAGTTCCTCACCAAATTGTTGTTCTGTTCCAGGAAGGGCAGAGCAGTTCCTCACCAAATTTTGGGGTCTCTGCTCACAGGAAGAACCCAGGGGAGTGAGGATTGTGCTGGTCCAAGAAGGGCAGAGCAGCTCCTGACCGAATTTTGGGGTCTCTGCTCACAGGGCAGGGGGTGTTGTTCTGTTCCAGGAAGGGCAGGAGCAGTTCCTGACCAAATTTTGGGGTCCCTGCTCCACAGGGAAGTGAGGATTGTGCTGGTCCAGGAAAGGCAGGAGAAAATCCTGACCAAATTTTGGGATCCCTGCTTCCCAGGGAGAACCCAGATAGTGAGGATTGTGAATAGTGAGGATTGTGCTGGTCCAGGAAGGGCAGGAGCAGCTCCTGACCAAATTTTGGGATCCCTGCTCCACAGGGGTTGAGGTTGGTTCTGTTCCAGGAAGGGCAGAGCAATTCCTGACCGAATTTTGGGGTCTTTGCTCCACAGGGAGAACAAAAATAGTGAGGGTTGTGCTGGTCAAGGAAGGGCAGAGCAGTTCCTGACCGAATTTTGGGGTCTCTGCTCACAGGGCAGGGGGGGTGTGCTGCCCCAGGCCCCAGCTCCCCCCAGAACTGCACAGTGCACGTCCAGCTCCTCATCCTCAGCAGGTTGGGGCACTGCTGTCCCTCCAGGACACAGACCCAGGAGGAGCAGGGAGGGAGGAAACTGCTGCAGTGTCCCCAAAAGGGAGCGGGCAAAGGTGCAGAAAATGAAAAAATCCCTCTGGCAGCCCAGGGCAGCACTGCCACAGGGGGAAGTGCTCAACATTTAAAAAAAAATAATTCAATATAATCCAAGGCACTGCTTGGACATGGATTGTGCTCCATCAGAGCAGCAGGGAAAATGAGGAATATTCCTAATGAGGAATATCCCAAATGAGGAATACTCCCAGCGAGGAACATTCCCAAATGAGGAACATTCCAAATGAGGAATATTCCTAATGGGGAATATCCCAAATGAGGAATATTCTCAATGAGGAACATTCCAAATGAGGAATACTCCCAAATGAGGAATATTCCAAATGAGGAACATTCCTAATGAGGAATATCCCAAATAAGGAATATTCCTAATGAGGAATACTCTCAAATAAGGAATACTCCCATTGAGGAATACTCCCAAATGAGGAATATTCCAAATGTGGAATATCCCAAATAAGGAACATTCCCAAATGAGGAACATTCCCAAATAAGGAATACTCCCAAATGAGCAACATTCCAAATGAGGAATATTCTAAATGAGGAACATTCCTAATGAGGAACATTCCCAAACGAGGAACATTCCCAAACGAGGAACATTCCCACTCCTCCTCCTCCACCCCTCCCTCCAAGTCACTGCAGCAGGGCTCTGCTGAGCAAACAGCCCCTGAAAAGTTCAAAATCACAGGAAAAACCCCAAACCAGGGACAGCTCGGGGCAAGGTGACCACGATGAGGATGGTGAGGATGACGAGGATGATGAGGATGGTGAGGATGATGAGGACGATGATGAGGACGATAATGAGGATGATGAGGATGGTGAGGATGACGAGGATGATGAGGATGGTGAGGATGATGAGGACGATGATGAGGACGATAATGAGGATGATGAGGATGGTGAGGATGACGAGGATGACAAGGATGAGGACGATGATGAGGATGATGAGGATGACGATGAGGATGACGATGAGGATGATGATGAGGATGATGATGAGGATGGTGAGGATGACAAGGATGACGATGAGGACGATGACGAGGATGATGAGGATGAGGATGAGGATGGTGAGGAGCGCAGGGCGCGGAGTGCAGCGCCTTCAGCAGCAGGCCCAGCCTGGAGCAGAGCTCTCCTGGATGCTGATGTAATCCCCAGAGCCAGCAGAGCAGGGGCTGCCCGAGGATGATGAGGATGACGAGGTTGAGGACAATGATGAGGATGATAAGGATGATGAGGATGAGGACGATGATGAGGATGATGATGAGGATGGCGAGGATGAGGACGATGGTGAGGATGGTGAGGATGAGGATGAGGATGAGGATGGTGAGGAGCGCAGGGCGCGGAGTGCAGCGCCTTCAGCAGCAGGCCCAGCCTGGAGCAGAGCTCTCCTGGATGCTGATGTAATCCCCAGAGCCAGCAGAGCAGGGGCTGCCACCCCCCGTGCACGAGGACATCATCTTCTCTATCAGAACCCTGGGGAAAAACAGTCTGAGCTTCAGCTGGGGCTTTTTGGGGGTATTGTTTTAACCAGCAGCACCGGGCAGTGCAGAAAATAAATAAAAAATTAAAAAAAGCAAAGCTCAGAAGTGTTGGAAATGGATTTACAGAGAGTTGGGCAGTGCAGAAAAGAAGTAAAAAATAAAAATAGCAAAGCTCAGAAGTGCAGGACATGGATTTGCAGAGAGTTGGGCAGTGCAGAAAAGAAATTAAAAAAAAATAATAAAAAAGCAAAGCTAAGGAGTGCAGGAAATGGATTTGTAGAGTTGGGCAGTGCAGAAAAGAAATGAAAAATAAAAACCAAAGTTCAGAAGTGCAGGAAATGGATTTACAGAGAGTTGGGCAGTGCAGAAAAGAAATTTAAAAAAAGCAAAGCTCAGAAGTCTTGGAAATAGATTTGTAGAGGGTTTGGCAATGCAGAAAATAAACAAAAAATTAAAAAAAAACCAAAAAACAAAGCTCAGAAGTGCAGGAGATAGATTTGTAGAGAGTTGGGCAGTGCAGAGAATAAATAAAAAATAAAAAAAGCAAAGCTCAGAAGTGTTGGAAATAGAGTTGTAGAGAGTTGGGCAGTGCAGAGAATAAATAAAAAATACAAAAAGTAAAGCTCAGAAGTGCAGGAGATGGATTTGCAGAGAGGTCTCAGGGCCCACAGCATGGTGTAGCAAAAAGCTGACAGGCCAAGAAACACTTGGAGTGTTTTGTAATTAAGAAATTGTTAACTTCTAATTGTAATAACATGAATTATAACCCCTGTATTGTCTCACCCTTCTCGTGAGAATAAAAATAATTATATTAAAAACCTCTCTTTGACAAAAGAGCTGGAAAAATGACTTTATACATTGAAATATTGCACAGCTGCTCCAGGGGGAAAATAGTCTCTTTTGAAAAACACTTTTCATGAGAGGCTTCGTGTGAGCCTGGAGCACCCTGGACACAGAGACTGCAGAGGAACAAGCTGCAGAGTTTTACCCCTGCCCATGAAGGCTCAGGAAATAAACAACTGGGAGCCTTCTGGTTATTGGAATCAAAATTTTTTTAAACTTTTAAATAATTAAATGTATTTAAATTATTTAAAATTACATTTAATTTAAATTTATTTTATTTAATTTTTAAAGTTTTTTTTATTTTAAATTATATTTATTTAATTATTTTTATTTAAATTTTCATTTAAATAAAAGCTATTTAAATAAAATGCCTCTCAGTTGCCCTAAGCCAGAAAAGAGCACTGTCCCACACAGAAGGACATAAAGTGCAGGAAATGAGTCAAAAATCAGGTTAAGGAATGGGACAGAACTGGCAGCTGGATTGGGGCAGGGACACCTCCAACTGTGCCAGGCTGCTCCAGCCCTGCCCAGCCCACACACACAAACACACAGAGACACACATAAAACATACAAAAACACACACAGAAACACACAAACACATACAGAGAAACACACAAACCCACAAAAAACCACACAGAGAAACACACAAAAACACAGAGAGACACAGAGAAACACACACAAAAACAAACACACACAAAAACCATACAAACCCACAGAAACACACAAAACACACAGAGAAATACACAAAAACTTACAGAGAAACACACAAAACCACAAAGAGAAATACACAAAAACTTACAGAGAAACACATAAAAACCATAGAAACCCACAGAGAAACACACAAAACACACTGAGAAATACACAGAATCACAAAGAGAAATACACAAAACACACACAAACACAGAGAGAAATACACAGAGAAACACACAAACCCACAGAGACACAAAACACACAGAAACACACAAAACTATACAAACCCACAGAGAAACACAAAAAAAAACCACACAGAGAAATACACAAAACACACAAAAACCATACAAACCCACCAAGAAACACAAAAAAACATACAAACCCACCAAGAAACACAAGCTCACAGAGAAACACACAAAAGCACACAGAAAAAAAACACACAAACACACACAAAAACACACAACACACACACACAGAAACACACAAAAACATACAAAAATACACAGATAAACACACAAGAACCATACAGACCCACCAAGAAACACAAAAAACCATACAAACCCACCAAGAAACACAAGCTCACAGAGAAACACACAAAAGCACACAGAAAAAACACACAAAACCCATACAAACCCACACAGAAACACAAAAAAACCATACAAACCCACACAGAAACACACAAAAGCACACAGAATAAACACACAAAACCATACAAACCCACACAGAAACACACAAAAGCACACAGAATAAACACACAAATCCATACAAACCCATAGAGGCACACAAAAAGCCATACAGAGAAACACAGAAAAACACACAGAAACCATCCAAACCCACACAGAAACATAGAAAACCGCACAGAAACACACATAAACCATGCAAACCCCCACAAAACCACACAGAAACACCCAAAAACCATGCAAACCCCCACAAAACCACACAGAAACACCCAAAAACCATGCAAACCCCCACAAAACCACACAGAAACACCCAAAAACCATGCAAACCCCCACAAAACCACACAGAAACACCCAAAAACCATGCAAACCCCCACAAAACCACACAGAAACACCCAAAAACCATGCAAACCCCCACAAAACCACACAGAAACACCCAAAAACCATGCAAACCCCCACAAAACCACACAGAAACACACAAAAACCATGCAAACCCACACGAAACCACACAGAAACACACAAAACCCCACGGAATAAACACACAAATCCATACAAACCCACACAAAAACACACAAAACCACACAGAAACACACAAAAACCATGCAAACCCACACAAACCCACACAGAACCACACAAAACCACACAGAAACACACAAAACCACACAGAATAAACACACAAAACCACACAAACCCACACAAAAACCATGCAAACCCACACAGAAACCACAGGAACGCCCAGAGCCCCGGGCAGTGCCGGGCGTGCCGGGCAGCCCCAGCTGGTCCCGGGCACCTGCGGGGCAGCAGCAGCTCTGCTCCTACCTCATGGCCTCGTGGATGTTCTTGTTCTCCTTCACAGACGTCTCCACCCACCCTGCAAACCCGTTCTCCTTGCTGAAGCGATCGATCTCGTCCCGGGTCACGGCCCACGGGGACAGGTCACACTGCAGGGCACAAACGGGGCATTGCAGGGCATTCCAGGGGCATTTCAGGGCATTGCAGGGCATTCCAGGGCATTCCAGGGGCATTCCAGGGGCATTTCAGGGGCATTTCAGGGGCATTTCAGGGGCATTCCAGGGGCATTTCAGGGGCATTTCAGGGGCCCAGCATGGCTCTGGGTGGTTTTGGTTTAGAACCAGCCATGGGCAGGGACATCTCCTCTGTGCCAGGCTGCTCCAGCCCGGCCTGGGCACTGCCAGGGGTAGGGATTCTCTGGGAATTCCAGGGAAGGATTTATTCCCAATACCCCATTAAACCAGCACAGGGAATCATGGAATGTTTGGGGTGGAAGGGATCAGCAGCTCCACACTTTTCTCCATCCCAGGCTGCTCCAGCCTGGCCTGGGCACTGCCAGGGATGGAGCAGCCAGGGATTCTCTGGGAATTCCAGGGAAGGATTTATTCCCAATACCCCATTAAACCAGCACAGGGAATCATGGAATATTTGGGGTGGAAGGAATCAGCAGCTCCATGGAATATTTGGGTTGGAAGGGTTCATCAACCCAACATTTTTCTCCATCCCAGGCTGCTCCAGCCTGGCCTGGGCACTGCCAGGGATGGGGATTCGTTGGGAATTCCAGGGAAGGATTTATCTCCAATACCCCATCCAAACCAGCACAGGGAATCATGGAATGTTTGGGTTGGAAGGAATCAGCAGCTCCACACTTTTCCCTGTCCCAGGCTGCTCCAGCCTGGCCTGGGCACTGCCAGGGGATGGGGCAGCCAGGGATTCTTTGGATCATCAGTGCCAGGGCCTCCCCACCCTCCCAGGGAGGAATTTCTCCCCAATTTTGGAGCTGGGAGAGCCGTTCAGCGCTGTGGGAGGCAGCCCAGCCCTCCCAGGGCTCGGGGCAAGGCTCTCCCTGGGGTGTTGCAAGCAGCAATTTCTCCATCTGCTGTCTCAGGCACCGACACACCTCGGCCAAGCACGCCTGGAATGGAGCTCCAGGCTCGTCCCCCATCCCAAATCTGCCCAGCAGCCAGCAGAGGTGGCACAGGGGAGGTGGCACCACGGTGGCACTGATGGACACGGGGCAGAGGCTGGCCCTGAGCTCTCCAGGTGACCCTGGTCCTTTGAGGCAAAGCTGTTGTCTCAAAACAGAATCTCAGTATCCGTGAGGTGGGAAAATCCCTGTGGGATCATCGAGTCCAGGCTGTGCCCATCCCCCCCCTGAGCACTCAGGGACACCTCCAGGGATGGGCACTCCAAACCCACAGAGAAACACACAAAAAACATAGAAAAAGCCACAGAGAAACACACAAACCCACAAAAAACACACAAAAACCATACAAACCCACAACACAAAAACCACACAAACCCACAGAGAACGACACAAAACACAAAAACCCACAGAGAAACACACAAACACATAAAAAACACACAGAAACCCACAAACCCACAGAGAAACACACAAACACATAAACACACAAACCCACAAAAAACACACAAAAACCATACAAACCCACAACACAAAAACCACACAAACCCACAGAGAAACACACAAAAAACACACAAACCCACAGAGAAACACACAAAACACACAAAACCCCCCACAGAACCACACAAACATACAGAGAAGCACCGAGAAATACAGAGAACATACAGAAACCATTCAAACCCACAGAGAAACACAGAGAATACACACAAACACTATAGAAACCCACAGAGAAACACACAAAGAAAACATACAAACCCACTGAGAAACACACAAACCCACAGAGAAACACACAGAAAACGTAGAAGCACGCAGAGAAACCCACAGAAAAAAGAGAAACACACAAAAAACACACAAACCCACAGAGAAACACACAGAAAACGTAGAAGCACGCAGAGAAACCCACAGAAAAAAGAGAAACGCACAAAAAACACACAAACCCACAGAGAAACACACAAAACATGCACAGAAACAGAGAGAATACACACACACACAGAGAAACACATAAAAACCATAGAAACCCACAGAGAAACCCACAAAACCCACAGAGAAACACACAGAAAACATAGAAACACAGAGAGAAACCCACAGAAAACAGAGAAACACACAAAAAACACACAAACCCACAGAGAAACACACAAAAACCATAGAAACCCACACAGAACCACACAAACCCACAGAGAAACACACAGAGAAACACACAGAAAACACACAAACCCACAGAGAAACACACAAAACACACAAACCCACAGAGAAACACACAAAAACCATAGAAACCCACACACAAACCCACAGAGAAACACACAAAAACCACACAAACCCACAGAGAAACACACACAAAACACACAAAACACACAAAACACACAGAACCCCCCAGAACCCCCCAGCCCCGGCCGGGCGGGCTGCCCACCTTGTTGGCCAGCAGCAGGCAGGGCACGGCGCTCCCGTCCGGCAGCACCACTTTGCTGTCCAGGTCCTGCTTCCACCTGTGGCTGTTGCTGAAGGTGCTGGCGTTGGTGACATCAAACATGATGACACAGGCTGAGGCCTCCCTGTAGTACAGGCGGGTCATGGACGTGAAGCGTTCCTGCCCTTCGGGGTCAGAAGCAGAGGAGAAACCCAGCCAGGGGTGTTGTTTTGGGGTTGGAGCAGGTGGAGGGGGTGTTTAGGGGGTGGGTTTGCAGCTGGCTGTTAGGGATTTGTGGTTAGTGGGGGGATTTGGGGTGTGTGATGGCCAGGGGTGTCTGGGCTGGGTAGGGGTCAGGTCACAGAATCAGGAAAAACCATGGGAGAAACACAGAAAAACACAAAAAAACTGTACAAACCCACAGGGAAACACACAGAAACACACACAGAAACACCAAAAAAAACCCCCCATGCAAACACACAAACCCATAAACACACAAACCCATAAACATACAAAAACCCCCACAGAAACATGCAAAAACCATATAAACCCATGGAGAAACACACAAAATACACAGAAAAAACCATACAAACCCACAGAGAAACACACTAAATACACACAAATCCACAAACACACAAAACCCAAGCAAACCCACAGAGAAACAGAGAAACACACAAAATACACACAAAACCCCACACAGAAACACACGAAACCCATACAAACCCATAGAGAAAGACATAAAATACACAGAAACACATACAATACACAGAAACCCAGAGAGAAACACACAAAATACACACAAACCCACACAGAAACACACAAAAACCACACAAACCCATAGAGATACACACGAAATACACAGAGAAACACACAAAACACACACAATCCCACAGAGAAACAGAAAATACAGAGAAACACACAAAATACACACAAACCCATAGAGAAACACACAAAAACACACAGAAACATACAAAATACACAGAGAAACACACAAAACACACACAATCCCACAGAGAAACACACAAAACACACACAAACCCACAGAGAAACACACAAAACCACACAGAGAAACACACAAAACACACACAATCCCACAGAGAAACACACAAAACACACAGAGAAACACACAAAATACACAGAGAAACACACAAAACACACACAATCCCACAGACAAAGAGAAAATACACAAACACACAAAATACACACAAACCCAGACAGAAATACACAACATACAGAGAGAAACACACAAAACACACACAATCCCACAGACAAAGAGAAAATACACAAACACACAAAATACACACAAACCCAGACAGAAACACACAACATACAGAGAGAAACACACAAAACACACACAATCCCACAGAGAAACACACAAAACTCCCAGAGAAACACACAAAGCACACGCCAGGTTTGTTTGGGGTCGAAAGGCACCACAGATCCCGCCGTGGGCACACTGTGCCAGCGTGCCCCAGGGCTCTGGGACACCCCCAGGCACGGGGCAATCCCAATGCTGGCATTTTCCCCAGGTGCCCCCCTGCCCCCGAGTGTCCCTGGGCACCACGGGCACGGGGCCAGCTCTGCCTCCCACACCTCCAGCCCCTTTTCGGGGCCAGAAGCGAAGGCAGCTTCTTGCTGCGCTGCTCACCCTGCCAACTTCTCCTTCATGATGCCATTTTTAGGATCCCGGGCAGCCCAGAGGAAACCACAGCCCTGTTTTCCTCCCTCCAGAGGGGCCATTTTAGAGATGCTGCTGCCCAGAGCTCTCCTGGTGCCAGAGAATTTGGGAAATTCATTCCTGGAGCCCCTTTTTTCTTCATATTTTTCCTTTCCTGCTTCTGAGAGAGGAAATTTCCTTTTCACCGCCTATTTTTATTATGGTTTGTTGTTCTTTCCTATTCCTGGGACAGGAGCTACTTGTTCCTCTCCAGCTTTTATAATTCTGTCCCTCAGAGTGTGTCTCGTGCCAGAAATTTGGATTTTAACCCAAAATTTGGAGCTGAGCAGTCTCATATCCAGCCAGTTGCACGCTCCCTCTGCTCTGGCCCTGGAGCAGAGAGGAAAGGCTCAGCAGGAATTACTGTGTGCATTCCTCACAGGTGGATTTTTAATTAAATATTTAAATTACTGCAGCAGGCTGGAGGCAGCAAAGCAGAGCAGCCCTGCCCCTGGAATCCACAGGCACCTGGGATTCATTTTTGGAGAAGGAAAAGGGAGAAAATGGAAGAGGGGAGGGGAGGGGA